TGAGATGGATTTCCTATCATCAGGATCTGCTCCCCAGTCGACATCAGAAAATGTTGTAATGGAAAGAGGAACTTGAGTGCTAGCAGCCTGCAGATGCAGCCCATGACAGAGAGTCCCTTTAAGGTACCTGAGAATCCTTTTAACAGCAGCCCAGTGGCTTTCAAGAGGATTAGACAAAAATTGGCAAGCTTTGTTGACTGCATAACTGATCTCAGGCCTAGTAATCGTGGCATACTGCAATGCCCCAACAACTGACTTATAGAAAGTAGGATCCTGCACCACATTTGTGCCATGTTTTGTAAGCTTAAGACTAGATATCATGGGGGTAGGCACACCATTAGCCTCACTAAGATTGGACTTGACCAGGAGATCTTTTAGATATTTTGTCTGAGACAAAAACAGAGATCCATCCTTTAAGTGAGATACCTCAATACCCAGAAAGTACTCCAATTTGCCTAGTTGTTTAAGTGCAAGCTGAACATGCAGTTTATTGACCAGTTCCTGAATATGCTGTGCAGAATTTCCAGTTACAGTTATATCATCCATATAGACTAACATAACGATGGTGTATGAGGGTGTGACAGGGGTAAAAAGAGATGGATCACATCTACTAGAGAAAAACCCAAACCCCTTTAGGGATGAAGTTAGTTTCTTAAACCAGGCCCTAGGCGCCTGTTTAAGCCCATAGATGACTTTGTTCAGTTTGCAAACAAGAGAGGCATCACTGAAAACTTCAAAGCCAGGAGGCTGTAGCATATACACTTCATCCTCAAGTGTGCCATTAAGGAAGGCATTATTCACATCCAATTGTGTGATATGCCACCTCTTGGAGATAGCTATAGTGAGCACGATTCTAACAGTTACAAGCTTAACCACAGGTGAGAATGTCTCAGTAAAATCAAAGCCCTGTTACTGGTGGAAACCCTTGACAACTAGTCTTGCTTTGTACTTGTTAAGGGTTCCATCAGGGTCTTGTTTTACCTTGAATACCCATTTGTTCCCTATGGCCTTCCTATGAGGAGGAAAACTGGTTAAAGTCCAGGTGTTGTTTTTCAAGAGAGCATGATATTCATCAGTCATAGCAACTTTCCAATAGGGATCCTTTAGGACAGCTTTATAAGATGTGGGCTCCAGTTCAATGAGAAGAAGGGTGGGATGTTGTCTGGGTTGGACTATGCCATTCTTCCTCCTAGTGGTCATAGGATGCACATTGTTAGGGTGTAAAGCTGGCAAAGAAGAATTATTTGCAGGGATATCAGAAGCAGACAAATCAGATGCAAAGCCAGAGACAGAGGGCTCAGATATAGATGCTAGTGAGTTAGAACTGAAGCTGACTGAAGTGTTGTTGTTGGTCTGAGCAGGTGATATGGGACTAGAAAGAGGAGTTGGCTCAGGGCTGATAGAAATTGAGGGATGAAGATTGTTGGGACCCTGATGGAAGTGAGGAGGCTGTGAGATTTGAGAGAGACTGATGGGAAATGGTGGAGATAGAGGGATAGAAGAAACAAAAGGAGCTTCAGTAGTCACACTCTTGGCATAGGGAAACCTAGCTTCATTAAACACTACATCTTTAGAAATGTAGATTCTACCATTGAAATCTAGGCACTTGTACCCTTTGTGATTGGAAGAATATCCTAGGAAAGTGTATTCTTGTGAGTGAAAATTGAATTTATTGGGAGAATAAGGTCTGAGGTAAGGGTAGCAGGCACACCCAAACACCTTGAGAAACCTGTAATCAGGGGCACACCCATACAACATGAAATATGGAGATTTCATTTCTAAAAGAGGAGTGAGCATTTGTTGATTAGATAAGTGACAGTGAGGCAGGCATGATCCCAAAATTGCAAGGGAATACTTGCTTGAGACAACAAAGTCAACCCTTTTTCAACAACATGCATGTGCTTCCTTTCCACAGTGCCATTTTGATGATGGGTGTGAGGGCAAGCAAGTCTGTGTGCAATGCCCTTGGTGAGAAATAACTTGGTGAGAGACTGAAACTCTCCTCCATCATCAGTCTGAACTGATTTTACAGTAGTTCTGAACTGTACCTCTACAACAGTGATGAAGTGTGTGATGGTGTGCAATACATCAGACTTTAACTTGAGAGGAAACACCCATGTATATTTAGAAAAAACATCTACACAAGTCAGCAAGTATTTATATCCACATGTTGAAATCATAGGAGTTGGACCCCATACATCCAAAAAGAGTAAATCAAAAGATTGAGTATAAGTTGTGTGTGAAAGTGTACTAGACAGCCTATGCACTTTTCCTAGGCAGTAAGGAACACAGAAATCCAAGGGAGATTTGTGAGGCACTGGAACATTGAGAGATTGCAGAGTTAACTTGAGCACTTCATGGTGAGGATGCCCCAGCCTATTGTGCCATAAGTTGTAAGTAGATGCTGAAGTAGAAATTGAACCGCCTATGATATGATTTATTGAAGGCAAGGGCTGAAAAGAATCAAAGGAGTAAAGACCATCTTTATTCACCACACCCTGCAGTAGCACTTCATTGGCCTGTGTTTTGGCAAAACACCTGTCAGCATGGAACTCAAAATAAACACAGTTATCCTTGGCAAACTTGCTGACAGACATGAGATTCTTAGTGATAGCTGGCACAAGTAATAGGTGATTGAGTGTAAGAGTGGTGTGTGTGTGTAGAGGTGAGGCAAAGGTAGTTGAGCCAATAGAAGTTATAGGGAGTCTTTGCCCATTTCCAAGCAAGACCTGATCAGTACCAGGGAGTGTCATGCTTTCAGACATATAGGCAACATTGTTGGTAACATGGTGAGTTGCTCCTGAATCAGGGTACCAAACTTGAGAAAGTTAACCAACAGCAGCTGCAGTTGCATCTGTACCTGTACCAGGGAAATAGGCTTGTGGTTGTGGTGTTGGTTTTGTAGGAAACTCTGGTGGTGGTCCTCTTAGAGCTGGTGTAAGCCACTGATTAGGAGTAGGAGCAGTCCACTGTGATGGAGCAGACATAGACATAGCTAGAGCACTTTGAGTCCACTGATTCTAATTCTGATACTGAGGGTGTGACACCTGAGCTTGTGACCACATGTTAGACATCATTGCTATGTGTCTGTGATAGCACACACTAGCATCATGTTCCATCTTATGACAAATCTGACACTGCACCTTGTATCGTCCACCAGAACGGCCACCTCTGCCCCTGTAGGCCCCACGTCCACCACGAAAACCTCCACGTGAATCATCATAGCCAATCACAGGACCATATGTAGCTTGAACTGAAGCATCTTGAACAGTTTATGTCGCATCTGCAGCCACAGGAGGTGTAGCCTAAGCTACGTTGACAGAAATAGATTCAACAACCACACTCTTCTTAGTCTTCTCTAGTTTCGCTTCATGAGAAAGAAACATAGATTCAGCTTCAATGATAGGACAGAGATGAGGCCTGTACTGGATGATTGAAGCTAGGGCATTTTACTCCTCTGGTAAACCATCAAGAATGGCTTCAATTTGATCACGATGCAAAATCGGATCGTCAATTGACTCAAGCACGTCCACAATTTGTTGAATACGAGCAAGATACTCCGTAACCGTTTTCTCCCCTTTCATAATCGATTTGAGCTCCGAACAAAGTTGGCGCGACTTCGCATTTGTGTGCGCAAACATGTATTTGTGAATCTCATCCCAAATCTGATGAGAATGCACACAACGAACAACGTGAGGAAGAACGGAGTCAGACAATGTGGTGAGAAGCCACGTGAACAAGAGCGAGTCGTGTTACTCCCAAGAGACATGCGCTGGATTTTCTGCATCGTTCTCACGATCTGCTTCAGTGAGATAGCATGGAGGAACGATAGGGCTCACCAGAAGACGATGAAGTTTGTGCGTTCTGATGATCCCTTCGACTTGTTGTTTCCACGAACGAAAGTTATTCTCATCAAGCTTCAGAGTAATTTGTTGCGCAAACGTCTTGAACGCGTTCTTCACGTTGAGCGCCGCTGTCGTCGGCATTGCACCGGTCGTGTTCTCAGACTCACTATCGGAAGCCATGACCAAGGATCGAGCTTAAGCTCTGAATACCATGTTAGAAACGTAGCAACAGTAGAAAGAAAGAAGAAAGAGAAAGAAAAGAAGAGAGAGAAAGTAGATCTGAAATTCTAACTAAATTGTATATTATAATAGAGGACAAGACTGAGTTATATACTCAGCACAATGATATTATAATTTTACCCTTTCTACTATTGAAGTATATATTCTAATGACAGTTTGTGTGTAACGGTGTTCGCAGGTTGAAGATGTACACCATCTCTTCATTAATTATGTCGCCAATTAAGCTATAATATAGCTATATGTACATTTATTGAAAACAAAACAAGGTGTGGAAACAAGAGAGTCTAAGGACCAGTTTGGATAAACAAGTTATTTACAATTTATGATACAAGCGCTTATGAATAAACTCACATAAGCTATTTTTATAACAAAAAGAAATAAATTTAAATTGTTTTTATATATGTTATAAATTGTTTTCATTAACTATCTTGAAAATTTTATAAAAATAAGTTCAAAAAAATTTATGAAAAATATCATAAGCTATTTTGATTAAGTCTCTCAAACAGTGACACAAAATTTATAACAGTAGATAAACTCAAATAAACTCATCCAAACAGGTCCTAAGACATATGCACTAGAGGATTCCAAATGAATGCTAGCAAGGCAGTATAAACCATTAGCATCAAAGAATGCTTCAAGCAGAACTTGTATAGAAACCTGAGATTTCATAAAGCACCACTTAGCATGAAACTAAAAAACGATAACACTCTCTTTGGAAAACTTAGAGACATATAACAGATTTATAGTAATAGCATGAACATTTGTTACAAATTTGGAATTAGGTGCATACTATGAAATAAATAGTGAAGGTTGATTACTTTTTCAATTCTCAACCATTTACATATTCAAGATTCAAGATAAGCCAATGTCTTGGGGAACAAGAAACGTGCAGTGTTCGATATTTTTCTCGCAATCATGCCATCTGCTTCGAAGGCTAACCTTGAATTTCCCATAAATCACTCCTCTCTTGATATTTCTCTCAAGCGTTATAATGTTGATACATACTCAAGACTAACAAGCATGATTCTATCACAAACTGAGCATTGCAAAAGGATTAACAAGTATTTGACAACACTGACAGAGAGGGAAAAATGGTTGTCTATCAGAGAATCAAACTCATTTTTAACGCTGAAAATGGTACTTAACTTCCTTAAGTTCTTAATTTTATTTGCCATTTCTCTCTTTGATAAAAAACCAGTTTCTAGTTGTTACACTCCTGGAAAAAATGTTTCAATGGACAAATCATAAAAAAAATCTACAGCAATCCAACTGCGTAAGTAGACTGCAAATTCCAGTACTCCTTTGATTGCTTCAAAGCGACGGCTCTTTCCCTAGCTAGTCTCTCTCTCCAATAATCGTTGCACCTGGGAAATATTGAAAGTTATTATGATGACAATGTTCATACATGAATGTTATGAAATGTTATTATCATGCACCACACATACAATACCTTCTTTTCATAAGAAGATTGAGTTCTAACATTCGGACTGACTTGGAATAAACTCGTCCCTGCAAGAAAGAAATGACGGTAAATCTTGACGATGATTAAAAATAAAAGCGAACTAAAATTATCCTCTAAAGCTCCAACTTCTAACCAGTGTAAATGAAAGTAATGTTTTGTGTGAATGATAAAGCAGAAATCAAATGGATGTATAGCCTTAAGGACATTAATGTTTTAAGAAGCCAATGAAAAGAATTTACCAATATGGTCTTAAGACTTTGCACTTATGAACTATGGAAACAATCACGGACACCAGACACGACACCGACACGTCGACACCAGTAACAATTTGAAAAAATGAATAAATGGAACGTAATAACAAGTTCTGGTGTCGGACACTAACACGCATTTTTTCAAAGGTGTCGGGGCTACAAAACTTTGCACACTCGGTGTTGCCAAATTTCTCTATGCGGCAGTGTTATAGCTCTGCTATTTGACAGCAATTTATACTAAATAGTATATCAGAGTGAAATAGAAATTTGTTCAAATTCTGCTAATGCTATAACATTATAGTACCGTTATTTGACAACATTGAGCACAGTAACTAAGAGCGTCTTTGATAGGGGTGTCTTAATGGGTTTTTAAGCTAAGAGTTAGTTCTTATTTGATATTTGATTTCTTAATTGAATAGATTAAATTTTATCACTGATATAACAACACTTAAGTGCAAAACGCATACCTCTCTGCATATAGGACACTTTGACTCTGGAGTTGCAGCTTTAAGGCCTTGGAAAGTCATCACAGATGCAGCAGAGCAAGCACACGACTTGCAGAAGATGTGGCCACAACCCAATGCATACGGATTGAAAACAAAATCCTATCATATCACAATCAAAGCATTTAAAACAGTTAGCGTCTTGCCGATATATAATATAATTTTTTTTCATAGTGTAATAACGCATTTAGGACTTACCAGGCAAATTGCACAAGTTAAATCATACTCAAGCTTAACAGAATCTGGAAGAGTCAATGTCATTACAGCATTAGTAACATTAAAATCACATGCAAAGTGACCACGGATTCCGTCAAGCTCGCAACCATCTTGCCCACTTGTATTCAGATAAAAAGCACCCAATTCAATCAGCCAAGGTGAATGTAAAAGTTCAATATGCTCAGCATGCATCTTAGATTTGAAATTCTCCCCATTCATAGAGCTGTGCACCTGGTGTAAAATAGCAAAGGATATTAGATATATAGTTATCCATGCTATCTTCTTTGCTTTCCTATGGGCTAAATAGAGACCCTTGTATTCATTATTGATTAGTTGTTAAGTTATCGAAAATGAGATATTATAGTAATAAAGGATGGAGAGAACTCAAAATACGTTTACGAAGATAAGTATAATTGAAAAAGGAGGGGGGGCGCATTAAGTGGAAATTGTCTCGGTTGATACATACTTTATCATATTTCTTAAGTATTTTCCTCATTGCAATTGCATTCATGGAAATATACTCGATTAGAATTCTCCCTTCTTGGTCAAGGGCTCCCATATCATTTTTAAAACACTGGCGCAAACACAATACATATCTTTGAAGCCCTTTTGCAATATGAAGATTTAGGAGATGTTGAACTCTTGAACTAAAGTATCCTGCTATATCTGATGCTTCCTTCATCAACTCTGAGAAGAACTTCTGATCGCATACTACAAGTGGAAAACAAAAATACATTACTAGAGTTCATAAACTAAAACACTTTGGTTAAATAAAAAGGCACATGATCATGCTCGAGTATTTTGCTTAAGCACAATTTAAAACTATGGCAGGTAACGATTTAAAACTAATTACATTTTGCAAAGCTCGGGTGTTTGAGGAGTTCTTAAAGTACAATCGTATTCCTAAAATAGACCATATTTTTTATGACCATATAGCATTGACTTATATCTGTTTGGAGAACCTGACGTTGGCCATATAATGAGGATTCTCTACTTCTAATCAAGTTTAATCTATACAAAATAGTCAAGGACGAAGCCTGTGAATTCTGATACTGACCACTTGCTTAAGGTGCCCGTCCATATCCACTTGGACCGACCACATGTTGGTGAATAAACACTAATTTCAGCTAAGGTAATCAGCACTAAGAGCCAGTTTGTATAAACATATCAAGAAACAATTATAAATCACGGGTTTTCAACCAGTAGCTTTTCATCTCGGTTAGAATTAAAACTTCTGCCTCTTAATCGGCTTTTAAGTTGTCTTATTTAAATTTCATGTAAACATCTACAATCTTAAATGAACTCTTTAATAAGTGAAGAACCATCATGTTTTCTATAGTTCAAATATCATCACAAGTCGTAGCTATTTAACACTGAAGATTAGTAAAACAAGAGAACCATCTACATAAGAAACTTTCATTGATGAAAACTCTACATGGACAACATTAACACTTTTTTTTAATCTTGATATTCAATCCGACCTTGCAAGAGACTAATTCAAGGGGATCAATCTCACCATCAACTTGCGAGGATCCCGTTTAATGCCAGAGCAAAACTCTATAAGTACTTGAACCAACACAAAAATTGTTTACACCCGGCGGAATTCAAACTTGAGCACACTCTCAGGAACCATGCCTTCACCACTAGGGTTTCCAAGTCTTATTCTCGTTATATTTATATTAAGATAGAATATTAAAACGACTAGTTATGGCAGAACGCATAACATACCTGGGCAAGATTGGCAGTTACATGACTGATGATGTTGATGATCATGAGAAGAGCTATCTTTGCAATTCTGACAACTCTTCAAAACGTTTTTCAACCTGTCATATTTAATATGAGCACAATTCTCATCCATCAACCACTCCCGCTCCTCTTGCAGATACTCCGTAAATGTGCACCCGAATTTCATTGCTACCCTTTCCCCACTCCCAAAACCTAATTAAATATTAATATCTGCATCATCATAGTTAATTATTCAATTAATCAGTAAAATATTCAACAATTTCGCACTATACCTACGAGATTAGCGTGAGAAATCAGAAATAATAATTGAAGAAAAAACCGACGAGATGATGAAACGAAAGTCAGTGACCTGATAATAAGAAAACAGGTACGAGGCGGTGGTTACCGTCGAGGTTGTCGAGAGCTGAAAGAATGAGTTAGTAATATTTATAAGAGAGTTATTATTACTTGGGAATTGTGTTGTTTGAGAATAAACAATAACGAAGTGGGAATAACTGTGTTTTGAACCACATAGATTCGAGAAATTTACGGAACTTTATGGAATTTCTGTTTCTTTTTTATCGACGCGTTTTAGAAATTTTTCAGGAGATACATATGCTACTTTTGAGTCACCACAACCACCACTTTTTTTTTTCTATAGCTTTATTTTAATGCTTTAGTTCAAGAATGCATGCACGTAGGCCAATTGTGTGAGAGATGTTTTGGATTGAGACAAATTTAATAGACTTAAAGCAGATCATTTTTTATTTTTAATATTAATGTTTCACTTTATTTTTTAACCAAAATAAGTTATTCTCTGAATTTTATTTATGTTATATTATTTGTTTTTTTTGTTAATTTATGACCAAAAAAAACTTTAATAATATTGATATTGATGTACACAAAGACTCCATATCTAAATATGATTCAATATTTATATTATAAAATATAATTTTCAGTAAAATTTATTGAAAGATGAATAATATTAATCTGAGAAATTTAAGTAGAAATTCTATCTTATAGTATAAATTCTGAATTATATTTGAATTTTGAATTTTGTTGTCCATCCACGTCACTATAATTTAATTTTTTTTATTAAAATTTGACAGAAAATACTAAATAGAATAACAAAAATGAAATTAATAGACTAATTTATAATATTTTTTAGTTAAAGAATTAAAACAAAACAATTAAATTAAATTAAGGGACTTAAGACTAAATATAGCCATTAAAATCAATTTTTTGATATTTTATTTAACAAATTTTAATTTTTTTATCTCTTCTATTGTTTAGAGTTGACACTGCAATAACGATGTTAAAAAAAAGTAAACAATTCAGAATTCATTCATCATCTAATCAAATAATCAATAATGTTATTCAAATTCATTTGTTTCAAGTTTTTTTAATATTTTTTATAATATAATATACTTTTGTTAAAAAAAATTATAAAGAATTATTTAAAAAAACTTTAAATAAAAAATTGTTAGAATAATAATTTTTAAAATGTTATTTTAAATACAATTGGCTTTGGCTACATGCTTGTTCTTTTATCCTGTTCAGAAGGTACCAGACGATTCCTTTCGAGTGTTTTTTGACTATATTTCAATATATGATATACGTTACATACAGTACGACAATCACTGTTAGATACGTCCCTTAGATGACATGGTCTTATACTCTAGATGGTTGGCTTAAGGGTTACGTCTGGTTTATCCATATTTTCCTGAGTGAGTCATGCGCTAGTTAGAATTTTAACATGAGTATTCCAAAAGACTCTTCTATGTTTGATTCTCCCATTGTCCTTCATAAATATGTTGATGTGATGTTTGATAATTTTTATAGAAAGAACGAAGTGTGTCAGCTCCTCAATTATGGAGTAGCGCATTCAACTACGTCTAATGGTATTTCAGAGTGTCGCAACTTTACATGATACTGAATGCTTATGAGATTCACTTAGACTATCTCATCAGTATATTAGAAGAAGAGCAGGATAAGACATACATGTCGTTGATGGGTTACCTGCATGATAACGTATTATGGCTATTGCACAAACGAGTATAGAGAGATGAGAGTTTCCGAAAGGAACTCATGTGAAGGCCATTTTTGTAACGTCCGTAATTTAATTAATTATTTAATTAAATTATTTTTGGATTTATTTTAGTTGGAGAATAAAGATTTTGTACGCTGACCGATAGAGCTGCGCGAACGAGGAGCAAGCTGCCTGGTGTCGAGCAAGAGCAAATCAAGGATTACGGCTGAAGCTTTGATTGAGCGACCTTCAATCCAGGTAAGGGTGGGGTTCTGACCTTATAATGGGACTTATGATGAGTATTATGTGGGAATTGGCCGTTTGTAAACATGATGTGCATTGATGTTTCTGAATTGCTATCGAAGTTGCCCGTTTTATTCATGTTGTGATCGTTGGGAAGAATACTGTATGACTGGTTAATGTAGATGTTACAGGGAGTTTCCCGGTTGTGTGTTGTAGATGTATGGTGTATCTGTGTGACCGCTCGGTCTAATCGATGAGTAGGTTAGTGTAGATTGTTTTCTGTTGTTGTGGTCGTTAGTTTGTTATGGTCGTTATGTGGGTATGATCGTTATGATGTTAGGAATTATTGTTATAGTCAGTCTTGTATTTTGATGAATCTGTCGATAAGAATCTAGTTGCCCGTTACTGTGTTATTCTGAGCGGTTGGCCAGAAGTTATGAACTATAGTGGTGTGGTCATTAAAACGTTATATTGTGACTGTGTTATTGGTCGGATTAGAGGTCGGGGGGATATTGAAGTGGTAGGTACCGAGCGGCGTTTTAGGCTGCAAGGCGTGTCGGGGAATGATGCGTTGGATTTTCGAGCAGAATTAGGTTGCAAAATATATCGAGGAGCGTAAGTTGGTCGTTATCCTGTTTTCCATGTGCGTGTCGAGGAGTGTGATTTAGTTGACATGTTGTCCTAGTTGTTGTGCATGTCGAGGGGCATGTAGTTCTCTATCCCTTTTGTCTGTACATGCTGTGTTTTGGTCGTTACCAGTGATGTGTGAAATTATTGTTAAGTTGTTGTTTGATGATGTTACTGACTGAATCGTTGATTAATGTTGATTTATATCGAGTTGTTGTGATGTTATGATTTCTGTTGTGGAATCTTGTTGATAATGCGAAGTTGCAGGGAATTTAGATGATGATGAATTACCTCTATTTATTGGTAATAATGGTGATGTGGGCTTAGGCCTTTTCGATGAATGATGATTGTTGTGAGTATGTGATGGTGCATTCATATACATTTGCATACTTTGTAATGCCCTGGATTGGCAAACTGCGAAGAAGTCTTATGCCTTGTTGATGCCTCTATTAATTAGCAATTATTAAGATATGAGTTCTGATTCGTTTTTAAGATGAGAGTTCTGCTCCAATGGTACCATGTGCATTCGCATAGTATTGAGTCGCATTCCAAGAAGTATGATTGAGTTGTTGTGTTGATGAATTAATTGTTGTATCTTGTTGATATCTTGTTGTGATGATTGTTGTGAAATGGTGATTTTTGTATGAACTGATTCTAATATAATATTTATCATACGTTCTATTACAATGTTCAATATCTCACCCCTTCTGTTTGAATATTACCCTTACGTTGGTAACGTGCAGGTAATCTAGAGTGAAGGCGGTTGACCTTCAGTAGTTCGAGTCGGTGTCATTGCTCTGATACGTAACACTCGGGGAGATGAACGCTTGATGTTTAGTTGTTGATTATTTCAATTGTTGAACTTTAAGATGATTGTGGTTAAGTATGTGTTATTCAGAAGTTGCTTAATGTTGGATAAAGATGTTATTATGATTTTGTTGCGTAGTTGTTCAAGTTGATGATTTAAGAGATTAATTTGTTTCGATGTTAGTTCATCCAAAGTTTTAAAGTGTTATGTATCCATGTTGAATGCAATCGTTTTTAAATTGAATTTGTGGCATCCTGATTCAGTTGTATAATTTTTATAACTCTGATTTACATTTATATTGTCGGATAAAATTGGGGTGTTACAATTTTCGAGACTATTCTATGTGAAGCAAGAAATGTCTTGCAATACATGAAACAGTGAAGAATCGGGAGTTAGATATATATACCTAGCAATTCACTTTTACTTGTATTTTGATAATATTTATATTATGATTTGTAATTTGTTTGCAATGATGTTTGATTATGGATTTTAATTGAATTAATATATTACATTTTAATTGAATTATATGAGTATGTGATTTAATTGATAATAATTTAATTTTGATAATATACTTAGTATAAATGATCTAAAATATAATATTTAAAAAAATATATCAAATTTATAATTAAAAAACTTTATTGTCTTAGGGTGGGTTTAATTTGCTAAAAAACAAGGAATCATATATTGTTTTTATACTCTGTTTGATGTAGAAACTTATCATGAAATTGGACAAAATATATGATAAGAGATCAGACAAAAATATAAATTCTTGTCTCTTATTAAATCATGGAATAACTATTCATCTCAAACACAAATTATCAAAAAAATATACCAAAATATCACCTTTAATCTCTCTATTTAATATTTTGATTTGTAAATATAATATAAATATTTTATTTATCAATAACGAATATTATAATAAAATTATTTTATATTTGTCTGATGCATAGATATATCAAATATCAAATATCAAATAAAGTAAAATATTTTTTCTTCTCTTCATCGTTTTTCTTCTCCTTCTCATTATTTAATATTTTAATTCATGAATATCTATATTTTATACATATATAAAAAATATTATAATAAAAATTATATTATTTGATACATAGTTATATCAAATAAAATAGACAAAAATTATCCAATAAATCGATCATCAAATACAATACAATACAAAAGTTATCTTGCACTGTTTTGTATTATCTAATACGGTTTTTTATTTAGTATTTCTTATTTTGCAAATCAAATATACCATGAATATTATTAGTAACTATATTTTCGAATAATTCGCTGAGTTGTGAAATAAACACATTATCATAAATTTAAAATTTGTTCAAAAATTATTACAAAATTGCACATACCAACTTACCCTGCAATCAGTATATAAATACACTTCTGAACTAATTTTTAAAGGGTGACTCACTTAAATAAAATGGTGTATTTTGGGCATTTACGGAAATATAATTCTAAATTTGAAAATAGCAATTTTAAATTTTAAAAGTGTATACGTTTGCTAGTAAGAGTGGGAATAGTAACCCATGAACAAACCCATAGAGTTCTTAAACCCAATCCGCTTCTTTATGACGAGGCCCACCAAATTCAATGCAAACTACTATCTGATGCCGCCTTTGGCCTTGTACCAGAATCAGAAACAAGTTGGATCGGAATCGCGCTGAATTCAACTAACTTCCCGTGAAAACTAAAAATTCCCCGGAAAACGCCGCCGGAGTTCTCATCGGCCGTCAGAAACATCAAGAAACTCATCGTGGTAATCCATTCTTGAATTTTATTTTATCTTTTGTTATAGAATTAGGTTATACATAAGCGATTATCATGATATGCACTTATGCTATAAGCCTAGGGATTTGGAATTAAGATGAACTCAAAATCAAGTCCTAGCTTGAAATTAAAATTAAGATGAAGAAAATAATCTTTGAAACCTCCAAAACGGAGAACAGTTGCATGCACTTGAGATCCTACGATCTCAGTAGTTATAGTTATAGTGCGATCCTGACCACCATTGTTTTGTCAATGTATAACAACAGTGAATAACATGACGGATGTGGAAAATGCTAGAGATTGTTTATTAATTTCATTTACTTAACAACAAAATAGAAGATGGATCATGGATGTGAATTCATGGACAAAATTGGTGGTTTACTCGTAATTTGCATATGTAAATGACATGCAACAAAAGCCTAAGATTTGTACTTGAAAGATTATTTCTATCTAAAGAAAAATTACATGTATAGAATCATAATCTATCCAGTAAGGTGTAGTAGCTACAACTTGATTACAAGTTTTTTTGCTTTGGGACATAGATGTTTGTATGCTTCAAATGATTTTCTAAGTAATGATTTTTGTTAATTTCATGGCCATTGCTTATCAAATGAAACCTTGAGTGTTGTTTGTGGCTTAATGCTGAATTTCCTACTGTTTGGACATGCAGGTTCTTAACTAATGGCTAAAACAAATAAGAAGCGCACAGGAAAATCTTCTGGGAAAAGAAGTGATAATCAGAATGAGGATGATGATTGGGTTATTGTTAAAAAGCAGAGAGTCATCATTCTAGTGCCTGCTGCACCTCTTAGTGAAAGATCCTCAACAGAAAACGCAGAGCCGAATCACATGCATCCTATGCCTTCTGTAACGTCAAGTAACCACGAGGAACTTCCCACGGATAGTGGTAATGAAAATCCTTCTTGTAATGAACAAGAGAAGACCATTTCATTGGCTGGCCAAACAGAGATTCATACTGTGACAAAAGCTGCACCTTCCTTGTTACTTAAATCACCTTCAGCCAATTCACCACGGGTAGATCAAAGGGTAGAATCAGAAAATCCACATCAAGTCAGTAGTTTGAAGTCCCAGAGGTTAGTTGGATTGTCTAATACATCAAAAGCTATTAAGCAGCCAAGAACTTTACTTGCACCAAGGTCCTCCAACTTGTCCACTTTGAATCGAGGTCTGAGAGCGTCAAATCTCGAGAGAAAGCTTGAAAGAGCTGGTGGGTTGAACAAGTGGCTGACATCACTTGGATTGGATCAGTTTGTGAGAATGTTTCAGGGCAAGATTATCAGTAAGTATCAGCTTGTGAATCTAACCATGAAAAAACTCAAGGATATGGGTGCCAATGCGGTGGGACCTCGCAGGAAGCTCATCCACGCCATGGACTGTGTTTGCCAGCCATATTGCTTTGAGGCGATATAGAAGTCTGTAGGATGTTGAAATTATATTCACAACATTCCTCGACATGGTACGGTACGAATGGAAAACTTGGTTTTTGGACGCTCTAGTGATCATAGCACTTGAGCCTCAAATAGTGTTTGAAGAGATTTATGCTCTTGTATATACTTATGAATTAAGAGCAAGTGCATTCTAAATGAGTGAAGGGGAGAGATTCACTAAGATATTGTATTTGGTTGAGATATGTAAAATTAACTCTGTTAGGTTGAGAAAGTGAGGGTAGAGATTTTAATGAAAGATTTTTTTTTTGAATGGTATGAAAATGTATTTCCTTGATGGCATATCCAGTTCATTTGTGTAGTTCACTCACTTTAACATGTTGACTTTAATTTTTACACACTAATGGATCATTGGATCACCACTATTGAACTTGCTGTTCCACAAGTATCATGGAGAAGGTAAAAAGCTTATGGAGAAAGTCTTTTGTCTTTTCCGAACATTGCATACATCATTTTTTTTATAAAACAAATTGGATTCATTCTTCAACTACACTTGGATTGAACCAATCCATTTTCAATTATGTACGTGAATTTCGTATGTGTTTAGTTTAGAATAGAGTTAAGATAGAAAATTAAAGGGAAAATATTCATTTTAAGGTTAAAAGATGAATTAGGGTTTACAAACTGACAATGTTGTGGACGCATAAAGAATTTTTCAAATTTTAGATTTTAAAAGTGCAAGTGAGCCAATATTTTGAACATGCGCCTTTAGTTATGTTCGCTCCGATATATTTTTTTACAGACTTTTGCAAAAAGGATTTAAACGGGATGAAAATGTGCGTTTGAATTTGTTCGTCTGTTTCTTCCTAACAAAAGTCAAACACTATTATATTTGTTCCTATTTTAAAATCAATTAAACATAAATAATATATTATTTTTTAATAGAAATTTCAATCCAGCAACCACTATTATCCTTCTTGTACACTACAATGGGAAAATTCTAGTTAGTGTTATTATTTATTTTGAAATACCGAAAGTATACATGTGATCCAATTTTTCTAAATTAAAGCATCGAATATATAAAAAATTACAATTGAGAAATAATAAGGCGATACCCCAAATTATTTAAAGAAATTCAGTTTTTTTTTTTTGTGCTGATAATGTCCAATTTGAAATCCAAATATTTCTTTTTACCTTGTGAATAAGACAAACAGAAGTAAACGAAAGATGATAAATATATAAAATGCAAAATGTATGAATGCGTGAATATAGGCTTAAACGATTGGATTTGATGGACAGTAACCCTTAGAAGGTGGGCTCTTAGCTTAGTTTTATGGATATTCTACCCTCTCCATAAGGTGGTTTCCTTAAGGGTATCATGAATAACACTAAAGGGAAAGGCACAGGAGCCTCCCTTAAGTGGAGTCTCTTTGCAGACCAAAACTTTCGTCTCTAGGTCGTGAAAGGTCTCATCATGAGATTCTAGTTTGAGGTTTATACAAAGAGTCATATGCGTCATTCCAAAGTCCTACCTCCCAAGAGGATGTCTCTTGAGACATATTTCTTTTGCAGAATTCCACCGACTCTAGGCGAAGTCGTCACATAAACTCATAGGAATGATGTATCCCTTGGCTAATAGACGAACATTCTTTCTAAGGGTTTTTGAAAATATATTTTTTTCTTACAAAATTAAAATCCCATCACAAATGCATAAAATATAATGAACAATAAGAACAATAAAAATAAGCGAGAAATAAATAAACAAACAAATGTGAAAGAATAAAATCCAAAAAGATAAAAAAAAACCTAAAACCTAAAGGAGAGGCTTATAAACCTAGGGTTAAGTCCCCAATAGAGTCTCCAACTGTTGTAACTGGTTTTTTAAATCAGAGTCGTCACCCTTAATTTTTATTCTAAAGGAAGGGAGTATAAAGGAATATACCTAAAGTTCAGAGATTCTAGATTTGGACTCGGTTCTAGACGAGGGGAAGGTATTAGGCACCCATTATCTACCTTGTTCGCAAGGATACTAGGTTTAGAAGCGCGATTTAAGAAAATAGGATTTTAATTATTATTAAGGAAAAAGGGTTTAATTTTAATCAGGGGGAACTCGCCACGATTTTTTATCGTATGCCTACGTATCCTCTTAGGAGAAATCAAACTCTCATTTCGTAGTTCGCAGTTGGTTTGTATTTGTTATGGATTGCGAAGATATTCGTATTTTCTACACGTTTAGTCTAGGTGTCTGAATAGTGGAGATTGTTTAGACTAAACGTACAGTCAATTCGAATAAACTCGCAATTCCTGTTTGAAAATTGATTATTGAATTAATTGGATTTTTAAAAATAGGTTTGTAGTATGTTGAGTATTTTTAATATGTTAATTATTTTAAAAAGGAATTCTATTTAAATGCATAAAAATAAGCTTTAATGCAATAAGTAAAAATAATGTTTTTAATGAATTTAGAAAATAAGAAATTTGTGTGATAAAAATAATAATGAATATAATATTAAATATGTAGTATAATTATAAAAATATATAATATTTATTATAATTAAACAAATAAAAATAGGAAATATAAAAATTATAAAAAAAATGAAATAAATAAAATAAGAAAAATATTAAAAGCGCGGGGGGTGTAAAATACATAAGGATGGTAAAAAAAAGGCAGGGTGCTAATAGACAAGGCCTGGATTCAGATTTTGAACTCAGGCCCAGAAGGTCAGGAGGTGTTTTTAAACTAAATAGTAAAAGGGGGGGGGGGGGGGTTGAGCAGTAGGAGGCCCATATCTAGATCTTGAACTGGGCCCGTTTGGCCTGGGGATGTTAATTCAACATATATTTAGCAAAAAAAGAAGGTAAAACATGGGGTGTGACTAATAAATGGGCTCGGCCCAATATAGTTTTGGAGTCCATAGTGACTCCGTATGAGAGGTTGTAAAGTCATATGATAGGCGTGCGCGTGAGAGACTTTGGATTGTGATCGTATGGCTTAGATTGAGGACGCATAGTAACAATGGTGGAATGATACATGCAGAATCCTTAAGCATACTATTATTTGTTTTTTTTTTTGTTTACACAACAATTTTTGTGTTTCTTCGTATTCTACTCTCTCTCTATATATATATATATCTATCTATCTCTCTCTCTCTCTCTCTCCGCCTCTTAACCCTCTTTTGTTTCTCTCATTCCCAACCCAAACCCTAGATCCCTTTAACCGCGGTGGCCACAAACCCTCCCTCTCCGAGTCCAAATCCAACTCAAAAAAAGACCCAAATAACAATATACAGAGTCAAATACGCAAGCTGAGTTTGTCAAATTCTTATCCTTTTCGTTGATTCTAAATTTCCTCTTTGATTCGCGTTTTGAGCATTTTTTGATGTCTTTGCTTGCAGGTGCGATGGAATGTTGAAAACGAAGGCTAGGTATGGCGGTGATCAAGGTGGAGGAGCGGTGGATTTAGGGTTTCAGATTTTGAAATCCTAAATCGGAATGGCGAGAAGATTGGCGACGGCGGGCGAACTATTTTTTTCTTTCTTTTGGCAAAACTTGTTCCTCTGTAATCTTAACTTTTCTTGTCTCCTCAAAATTTCTTCCCCGTCCCCTTCTACAGATTGCTCTAGGTATTTTTATAGTGATTTTTTAGAAATATAGTTTTAGGAAAGATTTTAAGTGTGTTTGTAAATTAATTTTTAGAATTGATTAGGGTTTTAGAATTAGGAATTTTTTTTCAATGTTTGTTTGTGATTGTAGTAAATTATATCCTTTCTGTAACTTATTTCCATTTTGTATTGAACCATTTTGATTAACTATGTATTGATGTTTTAATCTTGTTTCTGTATTTAGCGAATTTCTGATATTGTTTCTGGAATTTTATATTCGTATTGATGGAGATTCGGTTGTGTTGCATTCGATTCCACTTCCATTTTCGCGTTCTTGATTCACATCGTACAAACATTATCGGTCCTTTAATCACAACAATAAATGTTTTTTTTCCAATTGAACCGTGAGATATGGGCTTGGGCCTGTAGTGTGTTTGAGCTTCTGGACTAAGCATGTTTGGCCTTGGACCGTGAGTTTTAATCAACAAAGCAAAAAACATTTTTAATTAGTAAAACAAAAAATTATTCTTTTTAATTAATTAATAAGCAAACTAAATTAAGTTTAATATATATATTTTAATTATAATCAATATTAGTATATTAGTAATAAAATGTTAATAATAAACTTTTTTTTTCCAAAACAAACACAAAAGTTAAACAGACCATGCTATTTTAATTGGGCCTCGGCAAAATAACTTGCATATGATTTTTTTGATTTAATTACAGGCCTCGATAATCTTTAATGGGCCTCCAGTTTATCAAGCTTGCTTAGTCTTTCAAAATAAAACAAAACTTCTTTTAAAACAAACAAAGTTTCAAAAAGACTTGTTAAACTGAGCTTTGAAAAATTGCTTCATTATGAAAACTTAAATGGACCTCATGACCCTATTTTTTTTAGAATTCAAACAACAAATGTTCTAAAAAAATGCACACTCGACATGGGCCCATATTAGGTTGAATAAGTTTATTTTTTACACCCTCTAAAAAAAAGGATGAGTTTTTTTTTAATTTTTAAAATGGGCCTTAAAAATAAAGGGTAGGGCAAATTCGGGGTATGACAATTGGGTAAACAACTACGTTGGAAATGAAACATTGTTGGCACGCCGTATCCTATTACCCTCACATTTGTCCTAATATTTTCTTGTTTCTGGTCTTGGAAGTCGTCATTATCTCCATTTTCGTGGTTTTCATTTAAATAATCTGTCAGTTTCAAGCATGACGTTCTCTGAACCAAATCTTTTTACATGTTCATTATGTTTATTTTCCTTCTATTTAAATGACTCATATATCATTAATTCCTTCATCCCTTGTAGTATCTCATTCTTGCACATAACTATCTCTCCCTTTCTCTCTCTATCTCTCTCTCTCTCTCTCTCTCTCTCTCTCTCTCTCTCTCTCTCTCTCTCTCTCTCTCTCTCTCTCT